ATTTTTATATAATAACTTATATTAAATAAAAAACAAACTTAAGAATAAATAAAAATATCACAGTTATTAACTTATGTAATATATATTATTAACAACTATTTCTGTCTACTTCGTAGACTATCATCAGTGTTATTACCATTATACAAATACAATTGTATTTGTAGTTTATTTTTTATATAATATAAGTTATTATATGAAAATATAAATTTAAAAACAGGACCTAAAGCCCGGCAAAATTTAAAACACATAATATAATTATATAAAAATAATATAACATAATATAACAATGCCAGTTAAAATTATTAAAAAGAAAAGAGAAACATTATTAGTTTTAACACAAAAAAGTATAAAAATGATAAAACTTAATTTTTTTATATATAAAATATGGAAAGTTAAAGCATAAAATTAATTGCACGTTAATTACTTATTTTTTAAAGACTTATTGGTACGGAATTTTTTATTTTTTAATTACAGATTATATAAATAAAAATAAAAATGTATAAATAAAAAACATCGCATCAAAATCCTTCAAAAAAATAAATAATAAACATAAAAGAAATATTATTAAGTAATAAAATAGTGTAATAATTCATAAATAATATTTCAATTATCTCTAATAATGATAAAACAACACAAAACTTAAAAAGACTTTAAAATTTTTATTAAGTGAATTTATTTTATTCATTAAAATAATTTAAAATAAAAGAATAAATAAAAAAAAATAAAAAAAAAAGAAACAGAAAAAGAAAAGGAAAAAATTTGTTAAAAGTTACGGGTTATGTTAATATTTATTATTACTTCATTATTACTTTGTTTAAGTTCTTTAAAATTTTTTAACAGAATTATATAAATGAACAAAAAATTTAAAAAATATTTAAATAATTATTTTTTTACCGCCAATTTAATTTTACCATATAATTTTACCATACAATAATAAAATATAACTAAAAATTTAAAAAAAATAAAAATATGATTTTAAAAGATATAGAAAAAATAAATTATTATATATATAAATAATTAAATTTACATTCAAAATTGAAATAATATTTAAATTGAATATTATAACAAAAAATTTTAAAATAATTAAGACCTATTCGCAGTTTTGTGTTATTGTTATATATTCATTAAAAAATTAAATTGAATTAAAAAGGCATTGGAATAATAAAGTAAATAATAAAAGCACCATAAAAAATGAATAATGAAAAAAATTAGGAAATTGAAATTACATATATTATAATAACATATTAATAAATATATAATAATATATATTAAGACTTACGTGACCAGGGTTTTGGCTACAGCAACCTATTTTCAGATTTCTAATACACCAAATCCAATCAGTACACACTCAATTTAATCACTCCACCAAAGACATACTTTCGCCATAACTTTTTTCCCGACTACCTCTTCCAACACTTATCCATTCACACGACGTGACCGAACCAGCGTACCACTGGGTCTTTATTCACTATCAAAGTCATGTTAAAACGCGTACAGCTCAAGATTCATTCGAATACGTTAGTTGAGTCATAGAGGACTATAGATCTTACTAAGAACTTCATCATTATGTGTTGTTTCGTAATTATCGATAAATAATATTTTTGATAATTTATTAATTAACTATTAATTTATTACTTAAAAACTGTGAGAAAATTTAGTTGTCATTAAAGCGGCAAACTGCCACCAGACATATAATTCAATATGTTCTCAGATTTTTCTTTATGAAAGAATCTTAAATTGATAAATTGGTTACAAGATAACTGTATATAATGCATTTAAATTTCATTCCGAAAATTATTTTCTTATTAAAAAAAATAATTTATAATCAAAATAATCAAATCGTACCTAAAATTTCACTTTGGTACCATAACCGATCCATTTCTTAAGACCTAAATGAGAATCTATTTCTCTACCGTAAAAGCAAAATTAATTTTTCATTATATTTTATATTATATTTTGTGTTTCCGGACTTTAACTGGTCGAATATGACTTTTATAGTTGAATTTATATATATTTAATAACAAAACAACAATAATTGAATTTTTTTTCGCTATTATAAAAAAATATTAATAATAAATTTTATTAAAAACAAATTTTATAAATTTCAAATTAAATTATTTTAGTCCTTTAGATTATAAAAACTTTGTCTTAGAGAAATAATTTTTAAAAAAGATATTCCCAAAATTAAAAACATGTGTATATTTAATAAAATAATATAGTACAATAAGGAGCATATGTATATATTTAATAAAATCATTTCGTACCTATAAAGAAAAAAAAAACATAAATTAAAAATCTTATAATAAAAATTTAACATTAATATTAATAATGTCAAAGTTAATATAAAATATGCAATGAATGAAGTAATAATTTAAATAAATATTTTTTTAAAAAATAATTTAAACTAAAAAAATTTTAATATTTCATTAATTTTATTTAGTATTTTAATTATTTATTGCAGGTATGGTTCCAAAATCGCAGAGCAAAATGGCGAAAGCAAGCTCGACTACAATTACTGCAAGACGCATGGAGAATGCGTTGCTTAAGTTTAGGAACCCCTCCAGTTATGACACCCGGTAAAATAAATCACACAATTATTTTTTTATTATTATTGTTTTAGAAATTTTATTTTATTATGAATAGAACTTAATTATTTAATAATAATTAATAATAATTTAATATAAATTAACTAAAAATAAAATAAGAAATTATTAAAATAAAATATAATTTACAAAATATACATTATAAATAAAGCTCTAATAATAAGTTTAAAAAGTGAAGTATTATTTAATTAATTAATCAATATTATCTCATTTTTTTTTTTGCGACTTAGGAGGAAGAGTGCCCAATTTACCTAACTCAGCTAGTACTACAAATGGTCCACAGGTTGGATTAAGTGACCAAAGTCCTGAAAATCTTTCAAATTCACATGGTAAAGATACACAAAATCAATCAAGTGAAATGAATGGTACGACAGGCACAAACGGTCAATCACCACCATCAAATTTTACTATGATGCATCCCGCTTTTCAACAACATCCTCAGCATAAGATGGCAGGTCAACAAGAGCGAATTTCAAATGAAAATGACGATAAACTTACAAATGGATGTGAAAAAACATACACTGAACTTAAACTTTATAAAGAACAAACTGATCAAAATTTAAATGGAACTTTAAGATCACATTTAAATATGAATTCCATGTCTGATGCACATATGCTGGCAGCGGCAGCAGCACTTGAAGGCCATTGTTCTGATGATGGCTCAGATGGTTCAGATTCAGAGGAAATAGATTTAACTTCAGGTGCATGCATTGATTTCTCAAATAATAAGCCGCAACATCCATCACATGCACAACATCAACAGGCTATTGGTTCTACAAATGGAGTACACTAGAGGATCATACAATTAAAATACAGAACTTACATATATTCCAACAAGAATATTTAAAAATGTCTTAGACATTAGATTTAATTAATCAATAAAACCATATAAACCCTTTTAGTCTATAAATAAATATAAGTATTATTGTAACAAAGAAATATAGTTTATATATAGAAAGTAGTGGAAATAGTAAGTAAAAATTTAAAGAGGCCCATGATTTCTTTAAAAGTTGCAATAGTTAAGTTGGATTTTTCAATCACAATCACCGAACTGAGCTCTCAAACATAATTTCTATATCTGATGGAATAAAAATGACTCAACTGCAATTTTGTGTGGTTACTTTTAATACAAATTCTTTAAGAACCAATTTACAAAAGATCACACGTATTATCTACTTTTATGATATGGTAAGAATATGGTTTTAGAAAAACTAGGTAGGTAAATATCAATGGTCGTAAGTATAACAACCACTTCATTGGTTTTTTTTATTTGGAAACCACACATTTCGCACAAATTAGTATGTTGTGATACCACTTGATTCTAGTAAGACCGCTTAATTAAACTATCACCCCTTATTGAATTACCTTATTGATGTTACAAATTGTATTCACCACACTAGAGTCACAACAACAGCTGATCGTAACTTCATATACAAAAACTCATTATTTTTTAATAGACAGAAAAAAAGGAGTGTATTTATAGTTTAACTTTAGTAATCCTTTTAAAAACTGAGTATTAACCCAAATTGTCATTATTAGTACTACAAGTCTATATATTCCTTAAGTTCATCACTGAAGAAGTTACGTGATACTCTAATTAGTTTAATAAAAAAATACCAATGCAGCATTTCCGAAACTTAACTTAACAGTTAAGATTTGTTATTTATTGCATGATTTAAAAGTTGAACCATTCAAAATTGGTAATATTGGAAAGTTTACAAATTTAAAAATAATTTTGCTTGTTAGAAACTGTAAAAAATGCTCTGAAATCAAAATTTGTCTAGAGTGAGTCGTTAACTCAAGTCAATTTAAGTGTTTAGACTTGAATTTTCAGTATTTAGAAAGTAATCAAACACAAGAAAAATAAAAAATAAATTATTTTGATTTCAAGTTTGCTTTTCAATATGATTCGTCAATATATCGTATGAACTGAATTAATATACATAAACGATAAAAAAATGGTTTTTAGTTCAACATTTTTTTAAATTTATATTAGATATTATCTGGGCGTTAATATACAAAATATAGAATTGAAATTTTAAAGAAAAATCACAGAGAAAATATTTAATACAATGAAAGAATAAATAGGCGTTCCAAAAAACTAGTTGTGATCCCGGACAACACCCGGTCGAAATAGTTGTAGGTTTTACAAGTAAACACTTAACAATTAGAAATTGAATATTATATTGTAATATAATATAAACAATTAGAATTGAATTTATTATAAAATACTATAGATAATTTTGATTGTGAAATAAATGGTTCAATGGATATCCGCTTTTTCTTAAAAAAGTTAAATTTTCTTCAAAAAATGGAATACATAAAAGTATATAAAAAATAGATATATTATACAAATATAATTTTTTATGCTATAAAAAGTGTATATTAATAAAACTTTAACGTTCTTTCAAAATTTAACCGACATTAATTATACTCCTCTATGAATTTAAAATTGCATTTTACAAAAAGTACTTTTATGATTTCACGCAACACTGTCAGCAATATTTATAAATAAACTGTCAAATTGCATTAAAATAAATCTGATTAGTCTTTGTTTGCAATTGAAGCTAAAGAAGTTCTTGAAATTAAATTATTGACAAATTTATTGCTATATATATTTAATGATGAAAAGTATATATTTAATTTTGTTAATATTTTATTGTAGTTATGTTGGAGCTACAGTCCGACCTGTTGTCATGTGGCATGGAATGGGTAAATACCCTAATAAAATATTTAACATTTAAATACTATTAATTGTGCTAATCATAGGTGATACATGCTGTTTTCCATTTAGTTTGGGATCCATTAAAAAATTAATACAAGAGCATACAAATAAAACCTATGTCAAGTCCCTAGAGATTGGTGGTAACATCGTTATGGATTATCAAAGCGGTTTTTTTATACATCCAAACAAACAAGTGGAGTACGTATGTCAACAGCTTTCTGAAGATAAAAAATTGGCTAATGGTTACAATGCTATTGGTTTTTCCCAGGGTGGACAATTTTTGTATGTTTTTTGTTTTATTTCGTAAAAAAAGTACTTATGTTCATACAACACTTTTATAGACGTGCGGTAGCACAGCGCTGTCCGAATCCACCTATGAAAGTGCTCATAAGCTTGGGTGGTCAACATCAAGGTGTTTTTGGTTTACCGAAGTGCCCATCTCTAAAGACTTCTACGTGTGAATATATACGCAAAATTCTTTACTATGCAGCATATGAAGAGTAGATATTTATTATGTATAAAAGTACTTTATTAATAATTATTTTATTTATATTTAATAGATGGACACAAAAGGAATTAGTGCAAGCAACTTATTGGCACGATCCTTTGCGTGAAGATGAATATCGTTCTCGCAGCACTTTCCTTGTGGATATCAACAACGAACTAGATTGCAATGAACGTTATGCAGAAAATTTAAATAAGCTGGAGAAGTATATTTAACTATTAAAAAACTATGGGCTATTATTATAAATAAAACTCATTTCAACAGATTTGTTATGGTGAAGTTTTTAAATGACACCATTGTGCAGCCTAAGGAATCTCAATGGTTTGAATTTTATACTCCTGGACAGGATAAAGAAATTTTGCCGCTTAAAAAAAGTCATGTATATAAATGCGTAAGTATAATTTTGTGCTTTTAATAGTCCATATATGGTACTTTGACTATTAAATAGTCAAATATCAAAACTGAATATAAATCATTAGTATGTTTTCAATACAAAAAGCTTTTCTTAAAAACAAACTATAATATCAAATTTTATTTATTTTCAGCTGGGACTCGAACAACTAGATTTAGACGGAAAACTAGATTTTTTGGGTGTCGAAGGTGATCATTTGCAATTGTCAGAGCAATGGTTTATTGACAATATAATACCACTTTTATTATAAAGAACTTTTTTAATATTTTATCACTGAAACAATTTACTTTAATAATTATTTATATACATATAACTGTATGTAATTAACTACCTTCATTATTTAAATGTGATACTAATAATAATTAGAGTTTAAATAAATCAATCCAAAGTTTTTAAACGTACATCGATATTTTAAATTACCTAAATTAAAACTTAAATTGCAGTTACTACTATTAGAAATACGAACTAATTAGAAATACTAAATACTTTCTAACATATTAAGTTAACATCCAATCCAAAATGTCTATAATAAAAAAAGATATATGCTATAAATACTAATGGGTATTGAATCGTTACTACTCAAAAAAACATCAACTCATATCCAATCTTAGAAATAGGCACCAATACAACTATTGAGGCACATTAATTTAATGTTATTGTGGTTAGCCTGTGAGATCTGCTGATGTAGTCCTTTTTCTGAAAGGTGAATGGAACTTGGTCGTCGAAATTGACGAATAGCGCCTATCCATATTCTAATCCTTGAATTCGTCATGTTATTTCTTTCGTGGTATCTTCTCTCTAGATCCCTGTAGGCTACCACCAAAACAGTTGCGCCGGAATATAACGCCGACTGCTCTTGGTAGAATCTGCTATTTTAAGCAACTTTTTCTACCAGGCTATATAATTCGATAACGTGATTTTTTATAAAATACATACACGTCTGTTAAAAAGAAAAAGCATTAAATTTCAAAATATCGACAAATAAAATAAATATAACAGATGTTCACTACTTCCAATTCAACAAATATATAGGTTAGGTTATGCTGGCAAGCCAATAAAAAGGCCACGAGTAGACCCTTAAGGTACATCATTGCAATACCATAGCAGAGTTTTATATCTAGCCAACAAATATATCTGAGCTTGCCAAATTTGAAGAACCTGAAACGATCTTTTATAAGAACATTTTATCTATTTTTAAATTACCTCCACAAGCCAAATATACCTAAAGGCTTGCTTTGCATTACTTTGAATAGACTAAATCAGTACAAATATATTAACAAAAAAATATCAAATAAACAATTTATTGCATTCCTTAAAGGGAAGATTTTAAAGTTATGAATCAAAAAAAAAATCAGAATTTATTCTTTTTGGCATCTTTAGAGATTTATTGTGACTAGGCAATCATAACCTATACACAACATACAGATCCAGTTAGCTTATATCAAACACACTACTTAATAGATTATTAACAAATCCAGTCCATAATATTAAAAATAAAAACCATAATTATTTGATATTTATTCAACAATATAAAATAGTATTTATTTTTATTCATTAGGAATGAGTTTATAGTTTACATTTACTTAATATTTTTAAAATATTAAAGTGCAATATCAATTTAAATACAAAAATTTATTACTAAAGAAACAAACAAATTAATAATGGTACATAAATATATATATTTAAAACTGCAAACATAAAAAAATACTTGAATTTATATAATGAAAAATTTATATTTCAAATCGTATATTCCAAAATATTTATCTAAAAATATATATTTAAAATTATATTTTTAAAAATATATATCAAAAAATAAACATTTTATATATAACATAGGTTTACAAATGTATATGTAAAGCAAATATTTTAAAATTTATATTTAGCATTACATATTTAAAAATATACGAATGTATACATATATAAAACTATTAATTTTAAATATATATATATTTAGCATTACATATTTAAAAATATACGAATGTATACATATATAAAACTATTAATTTTAAATATATATGTTTAAAGTATATATGTATTTTAAAATTTATATTAAAAACAAAATTATAAACATAGTTTCTAAAATATATATTATAACTTTTATTTTTACCTGTTTAAAACTATAGTTTCAAACCTGTTCAAAACCACAGTTTAAGAACGATTTAAAACTATACTTTTGAACTTATTTAAAAGTATGCTTTTGAATCTGTTTTAAACTATACTTTTAAACCTGTTTAAAACTATACTTTTAAAAAATACTTTTAAACCTATTTAAAATTATACTTTTAAACCTGTTTAAAATTATACTTTTTAATGTGTTTATAAGTACAGATTTATAACAAATATTTCAAAGTATATTTTTTAAAATATATATGTAAACATAATTAAATATATATATTTATATCATCTTCCACTTTTAAATTAAGAACTAGTTAAACAAAATCAAACAAAACAATACATATATCTATATGCACAAAATTATCAAGATTCAAGCACCTTTTTCTTATAAACATAAACAAATTCGATAGCCAATTTTATTGGTTACATATTTGAGGAAAATAATTTAAAATAAAATACATATATTAAAAATTTATAAAAAGAGACATGCTTATTGTAATACAACTGAAAGAATTATTTTCTCTGCTTATGAATAAAATAGTGACTAAACTTAGAGTTAAAGGTCATTAATTATTAATATATATTTTATTCATGACTTAGGCGTTCGGAAATCATAACTTAGATTTTGGTTTAGCATTTCGAGCAAATGTTATTTCCGGATCCTTTTCAGGTTTTTGAATCTCACGAAAATTATTAACAATTTTTTTGGTTTCATCCTTTGGACATGATTGTAGATTGCGAAATACATTAACCTATGTTTGAAAAAAATTATGATATTAATATGTTCAACGAACAAAATTATAAAATAATTTATAATATGTATAATGAATGATTTCGATTACCAAGGACTCAAAGTTTGACAATGGATTTAAGTAAACTTTAAATTTTTATACATCAATATAGTTCACTAAATATTAGGCTTTAAAATTTCACATATTTATATTGAATTTATACATCGTGATTACCACAAGACTTTATCAAGCGGTAGTAGTTATGTTATGTGATTAATTTAAAAAACCTAATAACTCAAGAACCAAGCTATATACACATATTGTGCAGTGTCTATCCATTTTCAAATCAGTGTGCCTGAGGAATCTGATTCTTTTATATATTTATGCTTACCTGACCCATAGAAACAAAAATAGGTGCACGATAAATAATCCATGTAACACTTTCAAAATATGGCGCGGTTGTAAGAGAACCCTTGTAAGTATAATAATGTTTGCACAACTCTTGCAAACCAATCCAAGAGAGACAATCTTCATATTAAAGAAAATAAATATATTAATATTATTTCTATCATTTTATATATATTTTAATATTTACCAGAATCTAATGAGGCACTTGTGTTAATTTTCTGTACATTACGTATTCCTTCGGAAATTTTTTGAAATTCTGGACAGTCTTTATCTCCGCTAGCGTGTATAAAAAAGGCAACAACAGCTAAACCATCTGGTTTATTTTTAGCTTCATCAAAATTAGCATATTTAGTATTAAAATGCACAGCATGAGCCTCCATTGAGTACTTTACACCCTCAACAGTATGTTCACAGCCTGACTCATCAGTATCGGCCCAATGGAAATGCAATTGCTCAAAAGCATACTTATCATCACCCAAGCCACCACCAGTTATGAATGGTTGCTCTTTACGTTTAGCAAATTTAACCATGGCTGAAGTACCAGTGTTATAAACGCGTGCAACGCCTACTGGTTCCCAGTGGCCATGATATTCTAACGGATCAGCATCGTCGATATGATCAATTGTGCGATTACTTATAGCAATTGGAGATTGTACTGGCATTTTAATATTATAGCTTAGGCTTAGGTTTTGGTATTTAAATCGAGCGTGCTGCAGGTATACTAAAGTTTTAAGTAATATTCTCAAGTATATAAAATTTTTTCTTCACTTTATACACGCACACGATGTGTTTGTTGTTTAACTGAACGTTAAACTCCGTCGTGATGGCAAATTCTATTAGTTACGCGTAGATAGAAAATTTATAACGGCCTCGAAACTGTAAGAATATATGGAGAATTTAGATTATAATGGATATGAAATATATTTATATTTTTAATACAAAATTCATATAAAGAGTGAAAGCATTTGTAAACGAACGTTGTCGATAAGACCACCAAACTGTCCATGTAGGAAAAGTATGTATATACTTCATATGAAACTCTACAACTGAGGACTAACAAAATTGTACGCTTAAGTTTCTAAAATGTCAGTTTCTGAGAATTTTCGTATAACAGAACTGTGCAGCTAAAAAAAAAAATTATTTTAAGATTAGTTACTAAAATTTTATATACATAAAGTCAAATTGTATATGAAGCACGTTACTGTGCAAAGTAGTGCTATATAGATCTTCAGGTAACGATGTTTTTTGCACTAAAGTCTTTCACTTCATTCACACTAATATTCGACTTAAATATGTACATCAACAGCAACAAAAAAAAACCATAACAATAAAAAATTACAGCTAACAGCACCAAAAAAATGAATATATAAGAAGCAAGATGTATGAATTCACTATTAATATTAAAAATTTATTTTACATCATTGCTTATCACTATTTTATATGTACAACAAAAAGACTTGAATATCCTTTAATGTCCTTTCAAGTACTAAATTTAAACTAAATCCATTTTTTAGTGGTTCATGGACTGCGAGCATATTAAGTTATTATTATTTCATTAAATTTCACCATCAATTATTCTATTGTCGTTGTGTTTAATGGGTTTAAATTCCTTCCCTTAAATCAATTTTGAATATTATTTAACTTTTTATACCTATGTTAATTAAGTGTAATTCATTCTGTTAAGTATTTTTGTTTACAATAAATATTTTCATTTAATTTTTTTTTTAACCATTAAACATGAAAGTTGTAAAGTCAACTATCATATTTCACTCGGCTAACATTGAAGTAATCAATTACGAAAATGTTGCGTGTTATCAAATGACAGGTTCACCTCCCACTTTCTTCACGCAGGGAAAGTGTTAAACTTAAGTTGCGTTCTCTATCTTTATATCAATTGATTTGATAACTGAACATTTTTTATTGATTAAAGTTATTAAGAAATTGTCAGGTTGATGTGCAAATTAGAGAAAAATAAAAACAATTTATAGACCATGAAAGACATGGCAGTAAAGGAGGTATTATCTCTAATCATCCTTCACTAAAAATAAATAAAAGTAGGATTAAAACTATTTTCAGAGGGGAAAACGCACTTCATTTTAGAAACACTTTGAGTTCTTTTATAATGTCCTTTCCAGTATATTTTTAGTATTATACACAGATTTAAGGTATTCACCTACTTTTAGTAAATTAAATTTATTAACTCCACTTAAACTATATGAATTTTATCTTGTATATTGAAAAACACACTTTCTACTTCTTTAATAAAAATAATATTAAAAAAGGTAAAATATTTAAAGAAAAAAAACACACTTTATTGAAACGACTAATTTTTTTTAAAGAATTAATTACTTTCCATGTAAAACACATATCATTCAGAATTTCACGAATTGAATTGTAAGTTGATACTTTGCAAATAATAGACGAAAACATATCCACATTTTTTTAACTGGAAAAAATATGTATAAAATTCCACTAACGTTCTTTTGAAATATTACAAGTGTTTTGTTATATTGTATATACAGTGAAAACTCTATTTAACAGACACTCTTGTAGGCGAACATCTCTCTCAGTTTTCATTTTTCTGCCAATAAAACATTCTTTTAAATAAAAATATTTGCTGGTACTATCCGTTTTAGAGGTTTCATTAGACACATATAAAGAGTTATACATTTCGTAGTACTCACTTGGTTAATAGAACTGTCATTTAATTAGTTAAAGGGTTTTTAATTTATTATATGTATTTTTTAATAACCGATGAAGGGTCGAGCAACAACATTTTTGCTGTCAGCCAAGGCAATGATAGCCCACAAATAGCGTTTGATAAATTATTACATCCACAAAAACTAATTTCATAATGTTTCTTCTGGAGAGATCTGTAGTTTTTTAAAATTTATGTAAGTGTCAATATATCAATTAATTTGACATCAATTAAAAATTATGGATATGAAAGAAAAATGGGTTTAGTTGTAACTGCTGGGATCTGTAGATCTGTAATTAATTGTCATCACTAGACTTTTATTTAATGAGGTTATACGAAGGACAGTGTTTATGTTAGACAACTCCTAAACGTTCGTTTTTTGGAAACAAACTTTCATTAAGGTGTAACCGAACCTTTGTCAGCTATTGTCAAGTCATCGAAAATGACTTCATCGAAACGATGACTGATAAGTCGTCGAACATTTGTTCTAAAACATCTAATACTTAAAGATGATCCCATAGAGAATAGCTGAATGATGTTGTATTTGTATATAATGGTTATCAGAATGTTATGGCTATATTCAGACAACACTTGGAAATAAAAAGTTTATCGACATTTCAATTAAAAGTGTATTTTCATTACGTTTACTTTCGGAACTACATAATAAACTATTTCAGCAAGTCATAATATCTAAAGGAATATTTTATAGATTATGCACGTCACAATATTAAATAATTTATTATTATATTTTATTTTATCACAGTTAGTTTTTTTAAATTCAATTAATTTTTTTTTATCAATAAATTTAATATTTTTTAGTTATTTAATATTTTATTTATTTACTTTTTTAATATTTATTATTTTTTTATTTTTTTTTTTTTATTTTATTTTATTTTATTTTATTTTATTTTTTGTTAATATTATATAGACTTACTAAATGATAAAGAATGTTTGATACACAGTATACACAATTAAATTTAAAATTGTATATAAGAAAAATTTAATTATAATTAAATGTAGATAGACTGTAATATAGATTACTTTAAATTACTGAGAAATTTAATTCGTTAATAATTAATATACGCGGTCTGAATAACTCAACTGCACACTGCGAACTCTTATTAAAAACTAAATGTGTTATTGATAGTAACTTTTTCTTTTATCACTACTGGAACAATTGTTTTAAAAATTTATCAATTAATATGATTATGATTACTTTATGACGATGTCTGGCAATAAATTCAAACTGAAAATATTTCCAAAACACTTTATAGCATTAGCATTCCCCCGCTACCATTATCTCTAACGTAACAGCGGTAACCACAGCAGAATTGTCGAAGTAGTATTTCAAATACTTAAAACCAGTAGATAAAATATATGTAGATATCATAAATATATATATATATATAAATATATATAAGATCTTAATATAACAAACTAAATTATTGTTAAAATTAAACTTCCAAGAAGTAAAATTGTATTACAAATTTACGAGCACCGATATAGATCTTACAATATAATCCAATACACAATAATTTACTAATTTGATATGAATCCATGTTGCGTCGATATGGATTATCTTGATATACTATATATACAGGTTCATAGGAATAAAAATATATACAATATTTTTAATTTTCAAGTTTCTTTAATCCAAATATTTTACTTCTTAACTATTAATTTTTGAAATTTTTCGGATATGATGTTGTTTTAACCCGACGAGAGCTCCTAGTTTTGTCTCTGTTCCGTCCTGCCACATTAGCCACAATTGGTGGCTAGTTTTTACGTTGTTTTTGAATTAAGGAATGTCACAGTTATCAAAAATTGGGAAAGTTCTTTCTAGACATTTTGTCAGAACAAAATATTTGTAAAACCACCTAAATTCAGTTGGATAGATCTAATTTATTTATTGTAGTTTTTTGTGAGAAATATGCTATTAAAATGGCACATAATCTCTAATTATACGGGACGGTATCAGCTTAGCAGCCACCACAGTCAACTAACGAACCAACAATATATATACCATACATATAAATCAGCATTTTTTTAACATTCATAATTATGCTTATAATTTATAAGCATTTATTTTATTTCTTTATATCACATTTCAACTATAAACTAGACTTCTACAAAAATAGATATGAAAATCAAATTAATATGATTATTCATTACTATCATCTTCTTCAACCTGTGCAACAGTATTTTGTATGGACTCAATTGAGTCTTTTGTTATTGGCTGACACTCCTTAGCGGGACCAGTGTTGCAGCAGTTAAAATTGACAACACGGCATTCGGTCAAAGGTTGAATAGGACGAGCGTTACGCACGATACGACTAACGCCATCGTTACTCAATAGTTGACGAAACTGATTAATTTGCCGTTCACTAATAGCCAATGGTTCTGGATATATAAACCATTCAACACCTTCATAGCATGGTGGTTCGGTAAGAGAGCCGCCATAACTATAAAAATTGCTGCGAAATTGACAGCATAGATACGATAAAGGAAATGGTGGTATTTCGACACTGCTGCCAGGCTCACAAATGCAATGTAAGTTTTGTACAACCGGTTCCAAGTAAGGATTATGTGATGTTGTGATCTATAAAAATGATTATACGATATTGTTTAAATAATTTAATTACATAAAAAAAAAAATAGAATAACATACATCGTATAAATACGACACAATTAAAAGATCATAACTGGATGTACCCTCTGGTGGACCAGTGCGATGCATTACCTGAAAAATTTAAAAATTTAATTATTTACTTTACATTTTAAGTCAAACCAATAAAAACTAAATAAAAATAAAACCTGTATCTCCATCGGAAACTTTTTAAAATTAATCATGTGTTCCGAGCCTTCAGAGTTTAGCAAGCACCAACGAAAACGTATCTCAACAAAGCAATAAGACGCTAACAAATCAGCACCACCGATAGTTGGTATGTTTCCAGAAAAGGCAGCACGCAAAATTACTACGATTACAGATATTAGATATCATTTAATAGATATAGATTTTCTTCGTACGATTTCAATATATTTTAATATCTCACCGGTATTTCCATTGTTATGAATCTTAATACCAATTGGTAGATCTTCATAATGATGCCAAGTCAACTTTTCTTGTAAATCCAAACGACGTGTTTGTTCTGGTATTATGTTAATAGGTGACTGATTGTTAGGTGGAGCATCCCAGGTGTGGGGTCCTAAAAAATGCAGAAAACTTTTTTGTCAGTAATTCAATATCTGTAAATTTGGCTTACCATTTTTGAAACCATAATCAAACTGACCTGCATTAGCCTTACGAATATTACGTGGTGAACCGCGAAAAGCCAACTGTGTTCCATAGTGAATATTGGCTATTATAACAGTTGCTATGACAGTACTAAATATAAAAAGCACCAAAGGGTGGTCGGAGATTAAGGTAAGCATACCTTTCACACAAAAAAATATAAAATTAAATAATGCACATAACGTACAATATGCCATTATTCTCCTCTCTTTTCACTTCAAAAACACTCAACGAACTTTCATACACTTTTTTTCTGATTATGAACGTTTTGCTTTCAAAAAAATTTATTTTTATTTAACCTTAACTTTATATTTTTCTTTTCCATATGTTAACTCGATTAATTTTTTTTCAATTTGTATACTCGATTCTTTTTTTTTTTAAATGTATACTCGATAAATTATTTTTACTTTTTTGAGAATTAAAACAGTTATCTCAATTGACTCCACATTAATAAACTCTACTGTTATCAATGATATTACGGAAATATTGTAGAACTACCACAGATCTGTTTAGTGGTCAATTTCTACTAGCGAGTCGATTTTTAATACAGCTGGGGAAAAAGGAAGACTTCGAAATCGTATGCTTATGTCCAGGTTTGTCCACGAATACGCTTAAAATGCTTAGGGGCTCCATCATTTGGAAATCTAGAGAGCATCCCAAGAGTATCTACTAACGTGATATCTAATACAAATGTACATAAGATACATAAGTTGATTTTCTTCCAACTGGTTTTGTAATAGTCCGATAGCGTTTCTTACGGCCACGCAGATTAATTTAACCTAATGCGATATTCTTATCTGTTGGACCTGAATACTTGGTTACTTTATGAGAAGTGATATTATTGTTTTTATTTTTGTTTGAGACCAAACTAAATTATTGTTGCATTTGCAAAAAACAGTACTTGTTTGTATGTAATTTAAATATATATATAATATATACAATAGAATATATATAATATAATATATATAACATTATAGATATAATATAATATATATAACATTATAGATATAATATAATATATATAACATTATAGATATAATATAATATATATATATATTCGTAATATAACGAACGAAGAAATAATTTCATTTTGTATTGAATTATTACCTTCTCAATCGTGTCAAAAGTGGTTGAACTTTTTATTATTTTAAATTTGTTAAAGTAAGTGAAAAGTATTATAAAAAACCGGTTTTAATCAGGGGAAATCATGCCTTTTTAATTGGTAAATCTGGAGTAACTTTTTCAATCGAGATTCACTTTTAGTGCAATTTTCATTTTCGATTGGTAAATCTCGAGCGAAATGTATAACACTCAAGATTACTTTATAGCACTCTAGTTTTTTTTTCCAGAGTAGCAAGATTACCTTGAAATTAACAGCTGTTTTATATGACACAAAAGATAAAGTGTTTGATACAACATATATATTTGGGAAAAATATAAATGCCTACTAACAAAACTGCAAAAATGTTAGATCACTCGAAAAACGTTCGATTAGGCAAGAAAATTTGATATATCGATAGTAAATCTAGGCTGAATCTAGATTTACCAATCTAGACCAATCTTACCAAACGTCTTTAGGTAAGTATTTCCACAGATATTAGAATTGTACAGAGTGCTCAAAATTTGATGAATTAAAGACATCAACTCACTGCAACTGTCATAACAGGAACGGGCAAGCTATTTTAAGGACATGTTTTTATATCCTAAACTAATGATATCGAACAGTTAGGAAAGGCAGATCCTGCACTAATATTAGATTCAACAAATCCAACTATAATTTCGATACAAATTTGAACATCGAAAATACTTATTACTTGATTTCATTCTATTTTTCATTTAATGTTAATAGAAAAGTTGTTGCCAATTTGAATGAAACACAAAACATTTATAAATTTAACGTCATTATTTTTAATCTAAAAGTCATAATCATTCGTGGTCTAATTGTTGACCATTTATTGGTTCAATTAATTTACGTTAAATCGCAAATTCATTCCGTAACCATTACGTCGTTTATAGGAATGTGCCAATCGATTTTGATAAAAGTGAAAGAAATGACTAAAGGTCTATTTTTTTCTATATTACTAAGGTAATTTTTTTTAAATATCTTTTAACTTTAAATATTTATTAAGAATTTCCAATATTTAATTAGTATATTTCTTTAAAAATGATTACTAAATAATGAGACATTCATATTTTCTCAGTAAACAAAATATAATTGTTTTATTTTTCAGTAAAACAAAAAACATGATTATAAAAATAGATTAAAAATACATACTTTCTATTCAATTGTGACTATTATTATCTATCACAATAATGTATTACATTCGATGAATGCACATACGGACTACAATGTTATACAGGATAAATAATAGGAAACAGCGATGAATGATGGGATTTAGGATTATATGGAAGAGAGAAAAAGAAAGTACATTATGATAACAATTTTATTGGAAATATACGATGGGAAGTAGAGATGTGTGATGAAATTTTATGATTTGAGATTAAATGATCTAACGAAATCTAAAAGGCAATATATATCGGTACTATATATTTTGTTTGATACTATTAACCCATTAAAATCTACCTATAGATCCGCTCGTACGATTTTGATGAAATTTTAATGTATGTCTAATAGAGATTATAGAAGTTGAAAGAAAAAATTTTTTGATATTATTGAAATATTTCTTAGATATAGCATGTGTATTTAAATACCCGACAGGCGTTAGTGTGATCATTTTTCTAACAAGTATATATACTTAATATCTCTATTACATAGAGGACACATTAAACTACCTAATAAGCGTCAGGGGTCCTCGTTTTTTTTCATTTCCCAATATTTAGCTCTTTTCCCAAGCATTTTCCAACAAAGAAAGACAACCATTTAAAAAATATGCTGTTCTATTTTTATCTTGATAACTGTTTCTTCCCTTTCACTTAGTTCGCGCTAAAAAGTTTTACACGTCTACACTTTCTTAGGTATTTAAATACCCAATAGGTTAAAATGGGTTAAACGTAAAGTGCCATTGTTTCTTCCGGCCATAGATGTTATTAATAGCAAGTTGAAGAGATTTATGTGAGTTCCTCTTGTTTGAATCAATAGAAACAGGGCTTTATTATCAATGAATATTTCATAATTTGAAGAAGTATATGAGCGCATAAAAGATGGAAAGATTTACGTTTAACATGTTGTTGTTGTTGTTCTGGTTTGAATTAGTGCTATTGTCTAACATGTATTACAGAAGATAAATCTTGACTTAAGGATATAGGAAATAAATTGTGATGTGCTTATCTAGAACAATTGATGTACATTGCTTAATATGAAAAAATTCTTAATAAACAATTCTTATAAAAATTCTCATCAAAACCTTTAATTCAATGGATTTTCTATAACAACCATTATAATAAAGGCTTCTTTAATATTGTATTAACTTTACAAATTTTGACATGTTTGAATAATAATTTAGTAGCTGTAGACACATTAATAAATTTGTCGAACGGTTAAAAAATAAATATTTATGAGCTGATTAGAAAACCAATTTATCAGTCGTGAACTGTTCACACCCTCGGTTAACACGGATTTTATATCTCTCAGATAAGCTTTCACATTAATTTAACGCACTTAAACGCCTCAACAAGATTACGTCAATGAAATCTGTTTTCCATACTGAGAAAAATTCCCATACAAATTAGCAAGTATTAAGTTTTAAAATACCTTATGAATATTAGAAATATTATGTTTCAAAATTCCAGTTAATTACTAGTTAAACCGAATTTTGTTCTAATTTTATACTTGCGTCAAATGATAAACAGTCGTCAATAAACAATAAAATTATCAGTAACTGCAATACAGTCCGACAACAATTATTAGGACTGAATTTAATTAAATTATTAAGTTTCAATATAAAAAAAACTTAAGTGTCATTTAATTTGTTTTGAATATAAGTACTTTAATTGTTGCTATTTTTAAAATTTTTATCATATCTTTTTAGGGTAAATATTCCATTACGTGGCTCTGACATTATCTACAGGCCGTACTAAGTGTAAATAGATTATATTCATGTTTTTCGTCATTCAATTAAATGACATTAGGAAAAACAATATGAAATATTTGTAGATTAAGTAATTCTTTTTAAAGTATTCACAGCTAAAACATTAGATCCGCTAGATTAGTTAAGATATACTAAAATCAGATGTTAAAAAATGTTTAATGGATTACTAAATAAAAAAGTTGGGATATAATGACGTATTTGGAGAATTAAAATTTATATTATTTATTTTCTTTTATAATAATTTAAATTATTTAAAAAATTAAATGACAATTGTATTCTACGATCCTTTGCCGGTTGGCAAGTTCACCATCAAATTAGTCTCGCCAATAGCGTCACGTGATTTGCTTTGGCTATGTGTTTCTAATACATATAATATTTTTTTATATTTTATATTTTTATGTATTTCTCCTATTTGTATTATAATATAATAATATAAAAGAAAGGTTTCGAACAGTAGTAAACAACAGCAACAAAAAATATGTATTATTTATCAGTATTATAATGCTGATCGCCACAGTAAAACTCCGATCAGCAATACTGAAATCGTAAGAGATCATTCTTAAAAAGTTTTGCACTACTCAACTGTCAGTGATTCTTATATAAATTGACATACAGCAAATCACGACTGGACTGTATTTTCCTAACAGCTATGGAAAAAGGCGTAAGAAACTTCAAGAAAATTTTCCTGAACTGACATCATGGTATAATGCCTATTTGGTAGTATCCTGTTGCTTGAAAAGTGGGTTTAGTTAATTTTCCTTACGAACAATTGAACTCTGTCAGAAGTTATGAGTTGTCAGAAGTTATGAGGTGTCAGAAGTTATGAGCTGTCAGAAGTTATACGCTATCAGAAGTTTGGACGGTGATAATGAGTGGAATAATAATTTAGTGGAATGGATTAGTATAATTTAAAAGCCGCCCTTAGAACTATTTGAATATTATAGTAGACACTTAAAGTTTTTTAAAATTAAGAATTGTTGAAAATTAGCTAAGATTCTACTAAAGATCCGGTGATCCAAATGTATTCAGAATCTTTATAATGGAGAATACATGATGTCTTTTATTTTAATTTTTGTAATTTAATTAAAACAATAGATCATATTTTTTTTTTAAACGATAAATAACAAAATTAGAAATATTTACAATAAAAACTCAGTAATTTCAATAATTTAATGAATTTGCGACTAAACTAATAGAATTTAATGATTTTAATTGATATGAGGTAGACACACGTTTGAGATT